ATTAACATGTATAGACATATTGTCCTCCTAATTGAATGCTGATTAATCTGTTATGGGTATCAAACTGGTGCAGGCCGGATGCGTCACACACAGGCCTTTCCCATCCCAGCTCTGCAAAGGGGAAAAACACGTGACAGCAATGGGATGTGGCGAGTTTGACACCCATGATCTATTACAATAATAATAATATTGATATTATATTAATTCTTGTAGAACATTGATCTAATCATAGAATAACAGAGTTGGAAGGGACCTTGGAGGTCATCTAGTCTAACTCCCTTGCTTGAGCAGAAGAGTCTATTTCAAATATTAGCCTCTACCTTCACAGCCTCCTGATTGTGAGGCTAGAGCTCCACCTCTAGGCCACTGTATGTAGTTCTCCCTCAGCCTTACTGATGGATATTAGGAGCTTTGATACTTTGTTCAGAGAACAATAATCCACTTCATGTTGTTTGCTGTCAATTCATTTTTCTTTCCTCCTTCTTCCTATTTCAAGTCCTCTGTGGAGATCAGAAGTCCTGAGGGGAGGAGTAATCCATCAAATCCCCATCAGGAGCTGCTTTTCAGGAGGAACCCTCAGGAAGATCCAAGTCAGGATACCTCAAAAGGTAATGAAGGTCTCCTATTTCCCACAGAGATCCTTTCTATCTTATCTTCTTTTAGTCTTCTCTTGTGTAGAATACCTACTCCTGTTTTGTTAATTGTGCATTTTAATATCTGTCTTCCTCACAGAGAAACATAGAATGAAATTTTCTGATCTTTATGGTGGAGCTGAAACAGTGGTTGAACCTCCAACTGAAGTAAGAACAGGAAAATAATTTATTAAATTTCTATCCTCCCTTTCCTTTAGGAAGTCATACTGGTGTATACAGCACTGTCTCCTTCTATTATTCCCTCTTGTTTTGGCTTGGATATTTTCTTGTTCTTAAGCAGCAGGAGAATAGAAGATTCAAGCTGACCCCAAAAGCCTTTTGCTGAAATGCTAGAAAGAATTCACACACATACACAACACAGGAAGGATTGGTAGACAGGGTTTCCAAGGCCTATCTGCAAGTCGCGCTGGACACTCAAGAATGTTTGATGTGAGATGGGTGAATGGGTGGATAGTTACAGTGATCTATCGATGATATGGATAGAAAATAGATAGTTCTAGAAGGGAAGTGGTGATACTTTCACTGAATGGCCTGAATGTGTACCAGAATCAATTTATCAAAAGTTGATAAAACCTGCCCAATGTATTTCTTCAGTCACTGCCTTTTGGTCGTGTCCTCTTTGCCAACCCTACTTTAGAATACTACCAAGCACGCCCATTTAACAGTGCATATCTTTGCTTTGGGAACTTGTGTGAACCACAGGATAGATGCTGCATATTCTCCTGGACCTGTTCTGTTTTTTTTTTCCCCTGTTCAGGAGGGCCTTGTGTCCTTTGAGGAGGTGGCTGTGTATTTCTCCAAGGAGGAGTGGTCTCAATTGGATCCTGACCAAAAAGTGCTCCATTTAGAAGTCATGCTGGAAAACCATAGGAATGTGGCCTCTTTGGGTAAGACGACGCAAGAAATTTTATCAGAATAAAAACAATACAAATTTTGAGGAAATAAAGAAGATAGAGTAGGGGGTTTTCGAACTCGTGGCCCATGAGCTAGATATGTTACCTGTTGGCTACGCCCACCTCTAGTTTAGTGGGAAAAGTCAGAATATGTCACATGATGACGTAGCAATGCGAGTTTGACACCCCTGAGATAGAATAATGAAATTACTGAATAAGAAAGAAGTATGATAAAATTTAAAAAATCATAGGAACTCTGGGTAAGGTGTTTGCTTCTCCCCAATATAGTATTTAGGAAGACATTCTGTAGTTAAATGTTATCAGCTACTTCTTTATTTTTCAAATTTTATTAAATATATCAGAATAAGAACAATGCAAATACTGAAGCAAAAATCAAGAAAATAAAGTAATAAGTGAATAAGAAAAAATATCAAGAAAGAAGGGGAAAGGAAAAAAATATGAAAAAGTAATAAAGAAGTGGCTTCCAATCTTCTTGTAATCGTGGTTATAAATGCAATTATTATATATTATATAATATTTTATACTGTATTACAGCCTTTATCGCTTAAGGTTACATCATCATCTTTCCAAAATTTATCCTTTGTACTCTTCAAATCCATAAATCATAAACTGAGTTTTTTTCTTTTTTCAGCTAAAAGTCCATCAGGGGTTTTTCGTCTCTAATAAATATAGATATTGTCCTTTCCCAGATCAAAGGACTCGATCTAGCCATCTCTGTTAATTCTGCCATCTTCAATCGTTCCTCCATTGTAATTTTTTCAGAGTCCTTCCCTCTTTATGAATATAATAGTGTTGCTACAGTTATCATAGTTCTGTTTTCTAGCTGTAGCTTTATTAGTACCAACAGAAAGTGTTCTAATTTCAGTTCGGTATTGATCTTTAAAATTCTCGACATCAAAATTTTCTAGCTTGCCAGATTATTACATAATTTACATTTAATTCCTTTCAACCACATATTTTCCCATTGTTACATTTCTATATTATGACAAAACTTTGCCCATTTTATCATACATTTTAACCTGTTCATAGGTTTTAATGATTACATGTTCATTCTTCATAATTATGACTCAAATTCTCTTATGTTGTTGAATACTGTAGGTACTTTTATCTATCTTGAATTTTTGACAGTATGACAATATGAAAACAGCTGACAACTATATCCTTCTGCTGTCAATTACTCTGTTGATTTCATTTGGTATTCTCTTTGTTGAAGTTCTAACACTCTTGCCATAATATCCATTTGTCTTCGCCTGTTGCTTCTCTTCCGTGCCCAGAGCTGTCAAGGTGTTTTTAGACAGTCTGGGTTTGCATCTGCTCCATATTCTAAAAATTTCTGACTACATGGTTTTTAAAATCTAGATTAATTCTAACTTTATCCTAACATAAAAATCCATGCCATCCAAACTTTAGGTCATGCACTTCTAGTTCTAAAGCTACCTTGTTTCTCAGCAATTCCCAATCTTTCATCCAAACCAAATAGCAGGTCACAAGGTACAGTTTCAAATTGGGCAGACCAAATCCTGTTTCTTCTGCGTCTTAGAGAATTTGATATTCAGTCTGTAGCTTTTGCCTTGCCATACAAATCTAGGCTTATCATTCTGCCATTGCTTAAATGCTACATCATTTGTCAAAATATGTATTGCTTGAAACAAAAGCATAATTCTAGGCCACACATTCATTTTTGTCACAGGAATATTTTCCAACAATTTTGATTTCTCCTGCCTTAACATACCCTAACTCTTAACATCAATTCTATTTGATTTGTTTGTTTCATATTTTTGGTTAATATCTTCTTTTTTAAAAGTTAAAATTCACTAAAATACCATGTTTCTTTAATTTGGGGAACAACAAATAGTAAAAGGAAGATAGTTTGGGTGGGAAGAAAAATACTTGTTTCAAAATCGATGTAGTTCTTACAAGTTGCTTCTGGAATTGACCACTCCAATAATTATTAGATTTTTCCTAATACCTCCTCAGATGTTTATGTGATTCTTCCTTAATTCAAAGCTGACTCTAGGTGAAATTTAAATATGTATGGATAATTATAAACAAACATACTATAATATATTGGAACCTGTCAAAGTATGATTAGGAAATTCATAAGATTTCTTGCAGTTTGATCTTTTTCCCTAACTTAGTTAGCATTTTCATTTCTCTTTTCCTTTGAAGATAACGGCAAAGAGAATAAAGATACCGAGGAACCATTCCAAGTGTTCAATGCTGGAGATGAAACACAGAAGTCTGAAATTCAAATGGAAATAGAAAGTCATGAAAGAAACCAGACAAATAATTGGAATCTGGAAAGCTCATATTCCATTGAAGCTCAGATACAAGACTTTCTTGTCCAACAAGGAAAAGTAAAGAAAAAATATACTGGGAAAAATGTAAAGCTTTTGAAAGAAAAATTAGAAGTAAACAAACACAATTCAACAGAAACCAAAAGAGAAGATTATATATGCAGAGATAATAGAAACAATTACAATTGGGCTTTCACCCTTCCTCATGAAAATGGGTCTCTTACATCTTGTAAAAAGACCCATGCAGAAGAGAAGCGATATAAATGCTTGGAATGTGGAAAGAGCTTCAAAAGAAGCAGTCAAGTTACTTCCCATAACTGGATCCACACTGGGGAAAAGCCATATAAGTGCATGGAATGTGGAAAAAGTTTCAGTGAAAGCCGTTCCCTTACATCTCATAAATGGATCCATACAGGGGAGAAGCCATATAAATGCAGACAGTGTGGAAAAGAGTTTGGTGAAAATGCATCGCTTGTGAAACATAAAAGGATCCACACAGGGGAGAAGCCATATAAATGTGCGGAGTGTGGAAAGAGCTTTATTCAGAGCAGTCATCTTTCTTCCCATAAAAGGATTCACACGGGGGAGAAGCCATACAAATGCAGAGAGTGCGGAAAGGGCTTTACCAATAGCAGTCATCTTACTTCTCATAAAAGGATCCACACAGGAGAGAAGCCATATGAATGCACAGAGTGTGGAAAGAACTTTACAAATAGCAGTCAACTTATTTCCCACAACTGGATCCACACAGGGGAGAAGCCATATAAATGTTTGGAGTGTGGAAAGAGCTTTACTAATAGAAGTCAACATACTTCTCATAAAAAAATCCACACAGGAGAGAAGCCATATAATTGTATGAAGTGTGGAAAATCTTTTACTAATAGCAGT